AAGGGAGAGGCAGGGAGGAAGGGAGAGGCAGGGAGGAAGTGAGAGGCAGGGAGGAAGTGAGAGGCAGGGAGGAAGGGAGAGGCAGGGAGGAAGTGAGAGGCAGGGAGGAAGTGAGAGGCAGGGAGGAAGTGAGAGGCAGGGAGGAAGGGAGAGGCAGGGAGGAAGGGAGAGCAGGGAGGAAGGGAGAGGCAGGGAGGAAGTGAGAGGCAGGGAGGGATTTTGACTTGTTCCACGAAGAAGTATATATAATATAAAAATTATATATATATATAAAATATATATACTATATAAATATATATATATATATTATAATATTATATTTATATAATATATATATATATATATTATATATATATATATATATATATATATATATATATATATTATATATATATATATATATATATAATATATATATATATATATATATATATATATATATTTCCTTTGCTTGCTCCTCTGATTTTTGTTTTCCTCTCATCTAGGTACTTCGTCACACACTTGCTTCCTCCTGCTTGCACCACTGCTTGCACCACTGCTTGCACCACTACTTGGACCACTGCTTGCACCACTGCTTGCACCACTGCTTGCACCACTACTTGGACCACTGCTTGCACCACTGCTTGCACCACTGCTTGCACCACTGCTTGCACCACTGCTTGCACCACTACTTGGACCACTGCTTGCACCACTGCTTGCACCACTGCTTGCACCACTACTTGGACCACTGCTTGCACCACTGCTTGCACCACTGCTTGCACCACTACTTGGACCACTGCTTGCACCACTGCTTGCACCACTGCTTGCACCACTGCTTGCACCACTACTTGGACCACTGCTTGCACCACTGCTTGCACCATGCTTGCACCACTACTTGGACCACTGCTTGCACCACTGCTTGCACCACTACTTGCACCACTACTTGGACCACTGCTTGCACCACTGCTTGCACCACTGCTTGCACCACTACTTGGACCACTGCTTGCACCACTGCTTGCACCACTGCTTTGCACCACTACTTGGACCACTGCTTGCACCACTGCTTGCACCACTACTTGCACCACTACTTGGACCACCCCACTGCTTGCACCACTGCTTGCACCACTGCTTTGCAATCACCACTTCTTGGACCACTGCTTGCACCACTGCTTGCACCACTGCTTGCACCACTGCTTGCACCACTGCTTGCACCACTGTTTGCACCACTGCTTGCACCACTGCTTGCACCACTGCTTGCACCACTGCTTGCACCACTACTTGGACCACTGCTTGCACCACTACTTGCACCACTGCTTGCACCACTGCTTGACCACTGCTTGCACCACTGCTTGCACCACTGCTTGACCACTGCTTGCACCACTGCTTGCACCACTGCTTGCACCACTACTTGGACCACTGCTTGCACCACTGCTTGCACCACTGCTTGCACCACTGCTTGACCACTGCTTGCACCACTGCTTGCACCACTACTTGGACCACTGCTTGCACCACTACTTGCACCACTGCTTGCACCACTGCTTGACCACTGCTTGCACCACTGCTTGCACCACTGCTTGACCACTGCTTGCACCACTGCTTGCACCACTACTTGGACCACTGCTTGCACCACTGCTTGCACCATTGCTTGCACCATTGCTTGCACCACTGCTTGCACCACTGCTTGCACCATTGCTTGCACCACTGCTTGCACCACTGCTTGACCACTGCTTGCACCACTGCTTGCACCACTGCTTGCACCACTGCTTGCACCACTGCTTGCACCACTGCTTGCACCACTGCTTGCACCACTGCTTGACCACTGCTTGCACCACTGCTTCTCTGCAGTTCCTGTGTCGCCTTATATCCGAAATATAATTTTAAATCTTTGTTTGGTCTTCGCGAAATATTCCATCAAAACACCATCCCCAGGGTGCAACCCCCAACTGTTGACTAACGCCCAGGATCCTAATCGCTGCTATGTGTCCAGGATGCGACCCACAACGTTTGGCTGACACCCAAGTACCTACTTACTATTAGGTAAACAGGGGGCAACAGGTCTAAGGAGATTGTCTCATACTGTAGAACTGCACCCAGGAAGCAACTCACACCAGGTACATATTTACTGCTAGGTGAACCTGGGCAGTCAGGTGTTGAGTTGAATTAGTGGTAAGCACTGGCATTGTGGGTAGGCCTTCGCATTTGCATACTTACACCAACCTTCCAGTCAAAACTACATCAGATTACGGCAGCTTGTTAAGCAACCAAATTACACGCAATAATAACTTTATGTAAATTAGGCGCAGCAAGAGTTACTGTAACAGCACTCGGACCACTAATTAAACGTAGTCATTACCAGCACTCTATACAGGAAGGGACATGAAGCCTCGCGGTGGATTCTTGCTCCTACACCAGTCATTTTCCACATCATTGTTCAGCTTTCCCTCATTTTAAGCTAAACTGTCGAAGCACTTGGAGACAGTGTAAAGGCCCCAAAGCACTACTTGACCCCTTGTGGTTTGCTTTATCTAGGACACTCGTGTCATTTCTTGAGAATTTGCCCCATCAATTTTTTTATTGTTCTAAGAGGTTTGAAGGCTCTTGATTCGAGGGGGGTGGAGCTGCCTTTCCCTTCGTGATCGTAATCTGATTACCTCGCATTCTTTAGTATGTATGACTCCTAATAATTAATAATTAATAATATCAAATAAGAGTAATAATAATAATAAATATGATTAACAATTTAATACTTTATAATTGATTACTGAATAATTAATAATAATAATAATAATAATTAATAATAATAATAATAATAATAATAATAATAATAATAATAATAATAATAATAATAATAATAATAAATAATGATTAACAATTAATAATAATTAATGATAATAATTAATATAATAATAATAAATAATATAATAATAATAATAAGTAAAATTAATAATAATATGATAATAATTAATAATAATAAATAATAATTAACAATAATAATAATAATAATAATAAATAATGATTAACAATTAATAATAATTAATGATAATAATTAATAATAATAATAATCGTTACCTTTTTTTTCCTAGGAAGTTCACAAAGTTATTCACTAAGATATTTTGTTCCTTTTCAGATCGTAATCCAGACGTATAACCAGACGTTATAAACCAGACGTTATAAATAAACGTTATAAACAGACGTTACTATAACCTAGAAGTTATACCCAGACGTTATAAACCAGACGTTTTATAACCAGAGTTATAAACCAGACGTTATAAACCAGACGTTATAAACCAGACGTTATAAACCAGACGTTATAAACCAGACGTTATAAACCAGACGTTATAAACCAGACGTTATAAACCAGACGTTATAAACCAGACGTTATAAACCAGAAGTCTACAACGGGAACATTCCAAGTCTACAACGGGAACATTCCAAGTCTACAACGGGAACATTCCAAGTCTACAACGGGAACATTCCAAATCTTCAACGAGAACATTCCAAGTCTACAACGGGAACATTCCAAATCTTCAACGAGAACATTCCAAATCTTCAACGAGAACATTCCAAATCTTCAACGAGAACATTCCAAATCTTCAACGGGAACATTCCAAATCTTCAACGGGAACATTCCAAGTCTACAACGGGAACATTCCAAATCTTCAACGGAACATTCCAAATCTTCAACGGGAACATTCCAAAATCTTCAACGGGAACATTCCAAGTCTACAACGGGAACATTCCAAATCTTCAACGGGAACATTCCAAATCTTCAACGGGAACATTCCAAGTCTACAACGGGAACATTCCAAATCTTCAACGGGAACATTCCAAATCTTCAACGGGAACATTCCAAGTCTACAACGGGAACATTCCAAATCTTCAACGGGAAAACTCCAAATTTAAAGCGTGAAACACTGCAGATCTTCAGCAGAAACACATCAAGTGTATCACTGGAACATTGCAAGTCTAAAACGGGATTATTGCAAAAGCTTCAACGTGAAACTCCAGTTCTACAACTGGAACGTTCCAGTCCTAAAATACATCCACTCTTAACTTTCAAGGGTAACAGTGTTAATACGCAGCTGGAACATCCAACTCTACCTGGAAAATACTTTAAGCTTACCGCTGAAACATTACAATGTCACAGGATAAAACTTTTTTAAGCTTACAACCGAAATATTTTAAGGTCACAACTAAAACTTTTTAGTTTACAGCTGAAACATTTCATTTTTTGAAGCAGGATTCTCTTTTGATTATTATTCAACGAGTTCATTTTAAACCCACAACGTTGACAATCGAATCCCATAACAGGTCCAGTAGAAGCCAAGGAAATACCCTTAGTACCAAACACTAAATTCGGTATTCGAGAACATCCATTCCCAGCGTTATTCTAAAACATCCATTCCCAGCTTGCTACAATGGTGCTGTGACAGTGAGACACACGGTGGCTCCAGTCTTCTTGACTGTTGATTCAAGATAACTGCCCAAAGACACCGTCTAGTGCCCATCAGAAATTCTGTACGACGAGTAATGAGCGGCTTCACTGCGAGGTTAGTTGCTTCGTATTTGCAATGTAAAACCTGGATATCAGAGAGCTGAAGAAGCCCAGGAGTTGTAATTCAACACACGCTAGAAGTACAGCACCTGTAGCTTATCCTCAAAAAGCACAGGAGCTGCAGATCGCCTTTAACAGGACTCAAAACTATAATAACTCTAAATAAGAGAAGGACGTGCTGGAGGCAGGGAAGACAAGGCTGGTCCGGCGATTGTAGCGGCGACATTGTGGCTAGCTTTCCAGCCATCGTTTGTCGTTGGAGAAATTTAATGTCTGAAACAGATTAGCCGATGACGCGAGAGACAAAAATCTCATTATAATAGCCAGGGTGTCCTAGAAGTAAGCAGCGAGTAGATTAAGGGCTTGGGAAACATTTTGGTGCAGCATGTGGGCGGCTGGAGGTGTGCGGGCGGCATGAGTGAGGTGGCCATCCCGCCCACTGGTCGCGGCGGCTGTCTCCAACACGGACCATGAACACAACGCCCACCTCCCGTCCCTCTCTGTGTCAGCCCAGGAGGCGCGCCGCCTTGCTGTGGGCGTGGCTGTGGGCGTTAGCTATCACTGAGTTCGGGGCGCTGGCCGAGTGCCCCAAAGTGTGCGAGTGTAAGTGGCGGGACGGGAAGGAAGTGGTAGCCTGCAGGGACGCACATTTTATCGATATTCCTCGAGGACTCGATCCCTCGACACAAGTCCTTGACCTCCGACACAACAACCTGAGGATCCTTCCACGAGACTCCTTCGTCTACACCGGCCTCGTTAACTTGCAAAAAGTTTGGCTCAACTTTTGCAACCTCATGAGGCTTGAGAAGGGAGCATTCAGGATGTTGAACAACGTTGTTGAACTTGACCTGAGCAACAATCTCTTGAGAGCGGTGCCCTCTGACGCCCTCATGGACATGGGTGGCCTGAGAGAGCTGCGCCTCGCTCACAACAGTCTCACAGTCATCCCAGCCCTAGCTTTCGTGCCTACACCCGAGCTAGTCCACCTCGATATTAGCCACAACAGCATCGCCGCTATCGAAGAGGGAGCACTGATGGCGCTCTCCAGACTTGAAGTCCTGAATTTGTCTGATAACAAAATGACAACAATGGACGCCAGCGACCTCATCTCGCTAGCGGTTCTGCGGGTCTTGCAGCTCGAGGGAAATCCGTGGCACTGTGACTGCCATCTACGACCGCTACGCAAATGGATGCAGGAACACAATTTAGCGGCGTCGGTGCCCGCCGTGTGTACCCATCCCAGATGGCTAGCTGGTCGTGACTGGCAGCTTCTGGACGAAGAAGAGTTTGTCTGCGCACCGCTGGTGACGGCGGTAGCGCCGAGAGTGCTCGCTGCCGAAGGAGAAAACGTCTCGTTGGGTTGTCGGGTGGAGTCTGAAGTGGAGACAGTTGTCACATGGTTGGTGGGGGACAGTCTCCTGCAGAACACAAGCGAGGTGCAGCGCTACACTGTAGTCGAACTCATGGGGCCCTACTATTCCTCGTATATTTCTAACCTAACCATTACGGACGTGGTGCCGCTGGACCAAGGGACGTACCGCTGCGTAGCAGAGAACAGAGCAGGGCGCAGGGAGGTCAACTTAACGCTGCAGGTGTCGCACGAGGTTGCCGAGGTGCGCGTCGCAAACGTCGATGACACCTACATGAAGAGTGGTGTCCTCGGCGGAATATTTATTCTCGTGTGCATCCTGCTTATCGTGTGTCTCCTCATATATTGTAAAGTTCGCACCAGCGCCCACCACAACAGGAAGATGATAAGCTTGTAACACCTCAGACGTCTCGGGGCTCGGAGAGTACGGAGCCCCACAAGTTGGCTGGGTACCATATAGTCCCCACAAACGAGCTGGAAGACCCTCAGCCCTCAGTGCGTAGATCCCAACAAACACAGGCCTCATGGATGCTCCGAGAGGCGCCCTTGGACGACTTCCCCTCCAGCAAGAGTCTGGAGGCTGCCGCAGAAGGGCAAAGACAGGAGACCATGGAGGTACCCGTCACCTTGCCCACAACGACGCCGAGCAGCGTCTCCTATGTAGAAATTCCAAAATCTGGCGTCGGGGCAGCGAGAACGACCCTGGAAGATCCTACTAGATGGAAGGATCATCTCTTCTATCACGGAAGGGACGCACTCTTCTACAGGATGTGCGGCCGATCGGCATCCCAGTCGTCCATGGGAGCCAGCAGCAACGGTGGCCAATATCCTGACCTGCTGGACCTGCCTCGCTCGCAAGACTTGCAACAACACCAGGTCACCAGCCTGCCGCTGCATGCACTCAACCCGTCCTACTGCACCTTGCCCAGAACGTAAGTAAACAGATAAACTGGTACGTTTCCCTACTGGGATACCCTCTACGTTCATGTGTAAACCCACTACGTTCTTGTGTATATCCACTAAGTTCTTGTGTATACTCCTCCATTTTTTTACTCCCACTCTAACTCTTTCCATCCCACGTGCTTCTTTAACATTCCTCTCACTCCCTGCCTCTCATTCTCTCCTCCACACCACCTCCACCTTGCTTCTAATCCCTCCACATCCCTCCAGCTAACCAAAATCTCCCCTCCATTCCACTCCATCCATCTCTTCTCCCCATCTTTCATCAACCCATCCCACATTCAACTCCTCACACTTCAACCGTCATCCCAACATCATCCGTCCTCCCACATCACGTCCCTCCAACATCACCGTCCCTCAACATCACCGTCCCACCAACATACCGTCCCTCCAATCCCATATATCTCTCAACAGAAACCACTCAAAGGGGAAGGTTCCTTGATGTTGGCTGAGGGGCTCTCTTGATATTTAGGGATTGGATCTGTGACTCCAGTTCCACGAATTAAGCCTGAATGCCTTCCACATCCCCCCCCAGGCGCTGTATAATCCTCCGGGTTTAGCGCTTCCCCCTTGATTATAATAATAATAATGTCAACAGAAAACGAAAATATTTTGACTAAAAATCCAATATTTTACAATTACAACGATAAAACTATTTATTTTTATTATATACTTCGTATAAGCTTTTCAAAATTCTTGGAACATTACAAAATATTAAGAAAAATGGGCTAAATTGTTATTTTATTGTATATTTCGAAAATTAAAGAAACAAGCCTAGCAAGCTTAAGTAAAAACATGTATTAGATGCCTAGATGGTGTAATTCCGGGGGCCCCCCAGGTGCGAGGTACCTCGAGGGCCCACATGTATAAAAGGTCACTGGGGCCCCCAAGGTGCGACGGTTAACCCTCGTGGGCCACATGTATAAAAGGTAAATGGGGCCCCCAGGTTGCGAGGTACCTCGAGGGCCACATTGTAATTAAAAGGTAACTGGGCCCCCAGGTGCGAGGTAACTCGAGGGACCACATGTATAATAGGTCAATGGGTCCCCGGGGCGAGGTACCTCGAGGGGCCCACATGTATAATTTCGGTCATGGGCCCACCAGTGTGGAGGTACCTCGAGGGCCACATGTACTTAATAAAAGGTCACTGGGACCCCGGTGCGAGGTTACCACGAGGGCCCAATGTATAAAAGAGTCACTGGGGCCCACAGGTGGAGGTACTCGAAGGGCCCACATGTATAAAAGGGTTCATGGGGGCCCAGGTGCGAGGTACCTCGAGGGGGCCCAATGCATAAAGGTCATGGGGCCCCAGGTGCGAGGTACCTCGAGGGCCCACATGTATAAAAGGTCACTGGGGCCCCCAGGTGCGAGGTACCTCGAGGGCCCACATGTATAAAAGGTCACTGGGGCCCCAGGTGCGAGGTACCTCGAGGGCCCACATGTATAAAAGGTCACTGGGGCCCCCAGGTGCGAGGTACCTCGAGGGCCCACATGTATAAAAGGTCACTGGGCCCCCAGGTGCGAGGTACCTCGAGGGCCCACATGTATAAAAGGTCACTGGGGCCCCAGGTGCGAGGTACCTCGAGGGCCCACATGTATAAAAGGTCACTGGGGCCCCAGGATGCGAGGTACCTCGAGGGGCCCACCCACCCCACATGCATAAAAGGTCACTGAGGGCCCCAGGTGCGAGATACCTCGAGGGCCCACTGGGGCCCACTGGGGCCCACTGGGGCCCCCAGGTGTGAGCTAACACAAATATCACATCAATAATGCAAACAAATATTTCATTCTTATTTTCTAATTATTTTAAGAGGATTTTTTTTTGAGTAATATAATGAATATAAATATTTTCTGAAGTATACTGAATATATATTTGAAGTATATTGTGTTATTATTATTATTATTATTATTGTTATTATTATTATTATTATTATTGTTATTATTATTATTATTATTATTGTTATTATTATTATTATGTTTATTATTATTAATTATTATTATTATTTATTATTATTATTATTATATTGTTATATTATTATTATTATTATTATTTTTTATTACTATATTATGTTATTATTATTGTTATTATTATTATTTATTGTTTTTATTATTATTATTATTGTTATTCTTATTATTATTATTGTTATTATTATTTTTTGTTCTTATTATTATTATTATTACTATTGATACTTACTATTATTATTATTATTATTTTATTATTATTATTTTATTCTATTATTATTATTATTATTATTATTATTATTATAATTATTTTCTATTATTATTATTATTATTTATTATTGTTATTATTATTATTATTTTATTATTACTATTGTAATTATTATAATATTATTATTATTAGTATTATTATTTTATAATTATTATTATTATTATAATTATTATTATTATTATTATTATTATTATAATTATGTTATTTTTTTATTATTATTGTTATTTTTATTATTATTATTATTATTATTATTATTATTATTATTAATTATTATTATTATTATGTTATTATTATTATTATTATATATATTATTATTATTATTTATTATTATTATTATTATTATTATATTATTATTATTGTTATTATTAGTATTTATTATTATTATTATTATTATTTTATATTATTATATTATTATTATTATTATTATTATTATTATTTTTATTATTAAAATTATTTGTGTTGTTATTATTATTATTATTATTATTTTTTTTTATTATTATTATTGTTGTTGTTGCTGTTATTTACATTCGGGGGGATGCACTAAACCGTTTGGCGCACCAAATTCATGCATGGCATCTCACTTGTATGACCCATACGTGTTTAGCGCATTTTTAAAAACAATTTTAATGTGTGACCAATGACTGGTGTTTGGAACACAGGAGAGCCAGGGTGAACAGCGATGCTTGCCTCAGGGGAGAGCTACACGAGGCAGCAGCAAGGTTGGTCAGCAACCCTGACAACACCACCACAACAGCACCTCCTCAGGACGCCTCCTACAGGTGGGTCTTCCAAAGGTCAAGCTGAGTAGCTGCTCACTGGGACGGAGGATCGAGCCTCCACTACTTCTTGATATGAATGAAATGTGTAACTCACAGTTGGTTGGTAGATGTTGTCACTTGATGGAAGGATACCATCCTGTGGGATGGTATATGACAGGGGAGTCATCCTGTGGGATGGTATATGACAGGGGAGTCATCCTGTGGGATGGTATATGACAGGGGAGTCATCCTGTGGGATGGTATATGACAGGGGGAGTCATCCTGTGGGATGGTATATGACAGGGGAGTCATCCTGTGGGATGGTATATGACAGGGGAGTCATCCTGTGGGATGGTATATGATAGGGGAGTCATCCTGTGGGATGGTATATGACAGTGGAGGTCATCCTGTGGGAGGTATATGACAGGGGAGTCATCCTGTGGGAGGTTATGACTGTGGGAGTCATCCTGTGGGGGATGGTATATGGAACAGGGGAGTCATCCTGTGGATTGTATATGACAGGGGAGGTCAATCCCTTGTGGCGATGGTATATGACAGGGGAGTCATCTGTGGGATGGTATATGACAGGGGAGCCATCCTGTAGGATGGTATATGATAGGGGAGTCCATCCTGTGGGTGGTATATGGACAGTGGAGTCATCCTGTGGGATGGTATATGACAGGGGAGTATCCTGCCTGGGATGGTATATGACAGGGAAAGTCATCCTGTTGGATGGT